GAAGAAGAAGAAGAAGAAGAAGAAGAAGAAGAAGAAGAAGAAGAAGAAGAAGAAGAACAAGAACAACAACAAGAACAACAACAACAACAAAGATGAATGATACACGAAGTGGAAAGAAGGAATTATGTCAACAAATACAAGTATTTGTTCGTATTAGGTGAGTGAATTTTATTTCAAGAAATGAGTTATTAAAAACTAAAAAAAATAAAAAAATAAGTTATTTTAATGAATGATAATGATACTTGCTAGATAATTATTATTATATATATAGTAATTAAACTTAAATTTTTTTACAGGTAATAATATATATTAATATATAAATATAATATATAATATATAATATAAAATAATATAAATTTAATTTATATTATTGAATTATATAGTATAAGTATATATTATATTATGTGTTACACAATAAAATATTAATAGAACATATAAATTACAAAATTTCATATGTTTAAAGATTATAAAATTAACATTGAATCATTAATATTAATATATTATATATATGATATATATCATTAANATTAATATAATATTATATTTAATATCAATATATATATATATATATTAATATCATATATATATATATATATTTAATAAGAATGTTTTTCATGTAAGTTCATTTATTTTTTGTAATAATTCTAATTTTTTTAATTCTAATTTTTTTTAAAGGCCTATAAATAATTCTGAAAAAAATGATAAATGTACAAATATATTAGAAATTCCTAATGACAAAGAAGTAATAATTCATGAACGTCCATATGATAAAATTTCTAAAAAATTTAAATTTAATAGTGTATTTGGACCTTCTGCAAAACAGGTATGTTGTATTTGTATTTAATAAATACACATATATAAATAAAATACAATTTATTATATATTTTTTAAATAATAGATCAATGTATATAATGTTGTTGTTAATCCATTATTGGAACAAGTTTTGGCTGGATATAATTGTACAGTATTTGCATATGGTCAAACTGGTACAGGAAAAACATTCACAATGGAAGGAATTAACAAAGAACCAAGTTTATATTGGCACAGTGTAAGATATTTTTTATTATAGAGTGATTTATAAGATAAAAAATTAATATTAACAATTTTTTAAATATAATAGAATAATTTTAATGAAATAATGAAAAAAATTAAAAAACATATTAATATATAATATTTTTAAAAATATTCAATAGTAAATTATATATGAATATTTTTAAATATATATTTTTGAGCATAATAAAAAATAGTAAAATGGAACTTATAATTAATATTATTAATTATTATGATTTCAAAATAGTTATCGTATTATTATTATTTTTTATTATTTTTAAAATATAATATGTCCTGACAATTTTTATTTATATTTTGTCATTCAGCCTATTTATATATAAATACAATTTTTAAAATTACTAAATTTTGAATATTTATATTTCTATCAAAGAGATCATTTTAGAAATTATTAAAAAATAGATAATGAAAAAAAAATATTTATTAAATACTATGAATTGCATTATTTTAAAATTTTTGAAAACTTAAAACATTGAAAAAAATTATTATAATATTTATAAAAAATAAGATATTTTGAAGTAATTAATTATGTAAGTTTTAAAATAAAAATATAATATATTAAAACATAAGATGTACAATAAAGTATATTAATATACATATATAAATAATATATTATATGTATAACAATATAATTATAGGATTCATCTGCTGGTATGATACCACGTTCTTTAAGTCATTTATTTGACAAGTTGCAAGCATTGGAAACACAAGAATATACAGTTAGAGTTAGTTTTCTTGAACTCTATAATGAAGATATATTTGATCTTCTATCAAATAATCATGATGCATCTAAATTAAGGTAAATAATATATATTTTTTAAATATATATTATATATAAGATGACATTAATTATTTTCTTAATTCTTTCTATTAATCTAAATTTTAATAAACAAATATATTATATTTACAATAAATTTTAATAAACAAATCTAATATAATAATATCATTAATTAATTATTAACTAGACTATATGAAGATGCATCAAAGAAAGGTGCAGTAATTGTACATGGATTAGAAGAAGTAACAATACACAATACAAGTGAAGTTTATAAAATTCTCAAAAAAGGATCAGACAAAAGACAAACAGCTGCAACATTTATGAATACTCAATCTAGGTTATTATTTATTATTGAAGTTAATTTTTAAGTATAAGAAATATTTATAAATTTGTATTTATCTAAATATTAATAAAAAACATGTTAAGTATTATCTCTGATCAGCAGTATTTGAAAATAAATAAAATTATTTAACAATATTATGTATTTAACATGTTGATAAATACTAAGAGATGCGAGGAATAATATAGAATAAATAATAATAGAGATAAAGAAAATTTGCTTTATGTTCAGAATATATTTTATATTCTGATATAATAATAAAATAATTCATATGTATTAATAATGTATATTTTTATATTTTTATATTGTTTGTATGTATATTCTTTATATATTATTTTGTCTTATATTTTAAATTCTAAATGTTATTTGAGAAACAATGCTTTTTAATTGATATCCAATTTGTTTTATTTAATTTTTTCTCGTATCTTTCATATTTTATTAACTATTTAAGATATATATATTGTATATTGTATATTTGTACTATATTAAATGTTATATTATACAATTTTATATTTTGAAGTAGTTTAATGGTTTTAACAAATGAAATTTTTGATTATAGTCGATCTCATACAATATTTTCAATTACTGTACATATGAAAGAAAGTACTATAGATGGTGAAGAAATCTTGAAAACAGGAAAATTAAATTTGGTCGATCTGGCGGGAAGTGAAAATGTAGGAAGATCTGGCTCTGTTGATAAAAGAGCAAGAGAAGCTGGTAATATTAATCAGTCGTTATTAACTCTTGGTAGAGTTATTACAGCTCTTGTTGAAAGAGCACCACATATACCTTATCGGTAATAAAAATAAATATTTTATCTTTTTCATAAGATTGATAATTGTATATTATTACGTTTTATATATTATATTATTCAGAGAATCTAAACTTACAAGATTGTTACAAGAATCATTAGGTGGTCGTACAAAAACATCAATTATTGCAACTGTATCTCCTGCTAATATTAATCTTGAGGAAACATTGTCAACTTTAGATTATGCACATCGTGCGAAAAATATTACTAATAGACCAGAAATAAATCAAAAACTTTCAAAACGAGAATTTTTGAAACAATATACAGAAGAAATAGAAAAGTTACGAAGAGATTTATTAGCTACACGCGAAAGAAATGGTGTTTATCTTGCAGATGATAATTTTAAAGAAATGCAAACATTAATTTCACAACAAAATAAGGAAATAGAAGAAAAAATTAATCATATAAAAGCACTTGAAAAAATTATGCAAGATAAAGAGGTATTACATTTTTATTAATAAATGAAATTTTATTATTCATTTCATTGCATGACTGCTATTTATAACTATATATAACTATTATTTTTAATGCATTATTTATTTTTTCTTTTTAGAAAATATTTAATGAACTTGAATCACAAAATATTGCTCAAATGAAAGAATTGAATGAAATTAAAACTAAATTAAATAATGCTACTGATGCTTTACAATCAACATATAATCGATTAAAATTAACAATACAAGAACGAGATGAACAAAAATATTTAACAGAAAAATATATGACTACAGAGCAATCTTTATTAAATCAAGCTCAGACTTTAGTAAATGTTGTAGATACTGCAATAACAGATTCTTATAGATTACATGATAAAATTGAACGGAAAAGGTTTGAATATCATATTTATATTTTTTAAGATTTTATAATTTTTTATACACATATAATTTTATATATGATAATTTTTTCATACACATATAATTATATATGTGATAATTTTTTCATACACAATAGGATTTAAATGAATTTAATATTCATTTGAAAAATTTGCATTCAAATATATATAATCTATCTATAAGTCTAATCCTATAAATTTGATGCTAGTTATGATAAAACTAATAACTAATTAAACTAACTATATTAAATTCAGTTATATAATAAATAAAATATTATCATTAGTAAATATAAATATGTATGTATATACATAATAGAGTTTGCTACTATTCGAATTTTACGAAAATCTTGAAATTAATTTTATAAATGATTTTATTCTATTTTTAAAAATGTAAAAAGATTTATCATAAAAAAAGTACTTTATATCTTATATCTATGTTATATTAATAAATTTTTTATTGATTTTTAGCGAAATGGAACGAAAATTTGAAGTCCTTGGTAAAAGTTTAAAAAATAATGTTTCTGATTGCTTACAAAATATTAAAAAAGATGTATTTACATATGGCGAAAAATTGAAGGAAGTTTTTACATCAATGAAAAATGATCTTGGTAATAAAACTTTTTCACAGAAATTCATATTTTCTTTATTAATTTTTATTTTTATTGTTTTTATTTTTTTTGTATATGTATTTTTATTTATAGGAATTTATATTAAATATGAGAGTATTGACACAGCAACAAATATTCCAAATCAATCTAATATTAATAATTTAAAAAAAAATATAATAAATGAATCTGTAAGTAATATATTACATATATACTTTTTTTATTATTCTTATTCTATTTATTCTTAATTATAAAAATTTATAAAAATTTATTATATATATATTATACACATATAATTTTATATATGATAATTTTTTCATACACATATAATTTTTTCATACATGTATATATTTTTATATCTTTTTATATCTATTTTATATTTTTTTCTTTTTTATTTTAGTATTCAAATTACCAAAATTGGATACAAAATGAAATGAAAAATGCGGCAAATACGTTTAAATCTGAACATGAATTAATGAGTGTAATTTCTCTAAAATTGGCTCAAGACATTGACAAAATAATAGAAAATGAAATAGCTAAAAACTTAAAAATTATAAGAAATAATATATCTGAAAAATTAAAACAAACTTCAATTTCTTTAAAAGAAATGATAGATTCAGTTTGTATAGAAGAATTAAAAAGTTATAATCATATAAACAAAAATGTTAAAAATATTATAAAAAATATAGAAATACTTTGTAAAAAGCAAGAATTTAGTCAGAAGCAACAATCATTTATAAAAGTATAACGAATATAATTTTATATATTATGTTATTTTGATTATTAGATTATATTATATTATATGATTGGATTATATTAATTTATATTAATTTTTAGATGCTAAAAAATGTATTTTCGCAATTCAACGAGTTAAAAGAAAATCAAGAAAAGTATTACTGTACTGCAATTAATAATTGTGATTATGTTAGTAAAATTTGTAATGAAATTGGTGACCAAGCAACAACTAATTTTAATATAAATACTAAAATGATGAATGATTTGATAGATTATATAGAAAATGATATAGAGAAAATTGAAAGTAACATTATTATTGAAACAAAAAAAGTAATATCATATCTCTATATATAATTATAATTTTTATTTTAATAAAAAAGTTGAATCTTTTTATTACTTTTGATATGAAATATATTAATAAGTTCAATTTTGTATTTTATTTTATTAAATAGAATGAAGAAATTGCAAATAGAATTACAACACAAGGAAAAGATTTAATAAATGAATTAAAATCAAATGTAAATGAAAGTTATAATGTATTGAAACAATACAACAATATTATGGAATGCAATATTAAGGAAACACAACTGAAAATGGATATAGATAAGAATATGACTTTTTCGTTAATTGATGTAAATTTATATAAAATTTTAAATTTGATTTAATGAAATATTAAATATTAATAAATAGAATGTTATATTTTTAGGATGCGTACAAGATAATTTCAGATGCAAATAAAAATCATATAGAATTTGTGAGAGATAAAAAAATAAAAATTTCTGATATTTCTCAAGAGATATCTATAAAATTAGAAAATCAAATAATGGACTCTTGTGTATGGAATAATAACTTTGTGGAACAATTACAAATGACAGATGATGAAATCAACAAATTTTTTGATAAAGATGTACAACGTGATATTTCAACAGGTCTATTATTATTTTATTATTATATATAAATAATAATAATTATTTTTTTTTTAATATTTAATAATAATTAATATTATTATTAAATATTTAATAATTATTAATAAAAAAAGAAAAAATACAAATATATTAAAATTAAATTATTTTTTATTTTATAAATTTTATTTTTAGGATTAACACCTGCTAGAAAAAATTTTTCTTATCCTCGTCAGTTTGTAGCAACATCACCACATGAAAAAATTCTTAAAAGATTTAGAGAAACCACAAAAATTTTTGAAACAATACAAGATGATGTAAGTAATGATGTATTTATACAGAATAACATAATATATTTTTAATATTATCTTATATATATTTCTATTATGTTTTTTATATTTTAGTATACGCAAGAAGATATGTCTATGAATGATGAAACAATACTAAAGCAAATTGCAAATTCAACTGCATTATCTGATGTAACATTTGTATCTTCTGGAGTTGATAATACAACAATTAGTAAGCAAATTGCAGATTCAACTATATTATCTGATGTAACATTTGTATCTTCTGTAGCTGATGATATAACATTTACTGCATCTATTTTTAATAATGATGATTTATCAAAGCATACTAGCTCTTCTGATTCTATAGATTCTCATATTGAAAATGTTATACATAATATAACATAATGTTATATATTAAATATTCAATCTTATATTTAGTCTGAACGAACATTTAATGCAAAGGTAAAAATTATAATTTTTATTTATTTTTTATTTTCATGAAATATTTATAATGTGTATAATATAATATGTTTTCATGAAATATAATGTGTATAATATAATATGTAATATATTGTTTATAATTTTCTTAATTTATTTTACAGAACAAAAAAAAAAGAAGAAAAATGACAACTATATCTTAATGTATGAATACAATGAATAATATATAGATTTTTGTAAAATTCGTAAAATATCAAATTTATTAATTTTTTTTAAATAAAAATGAATTTATATATATTAAGACTTTTAATTGTAATAGAATCAAAATTATGTGTAATGTCAAACCATTTAATCATTTAATCAAATATATTTCAGAATATGAGATAATATATTTGAAACATAATTGATTATCAAAATTATTATTAATATAAATATAAAGAAAAAAAAGAAACCATTTTTTATCATAGTTATAGAAATCATAATATAATAATAATATTCATTTGACAATTCGTAATTCAAATTCAAATTTGAATGCTTATGAATTTGATATCTGAAAATTCAATTGAAGCAAAAAAAAAAAAAAAAAAAATCGATTATAACTCATAAAAATATCAAGTTTTAGTTAAAAAAATTTATTTGATATAAGAGAAACTTCTTTGAAATTTCTCTAACTTTGAAGTCTTATTTCTAAAAATTGATAATAGCGGATACTAATAATTTCATTTGACTTCGTGATGATTGCTACTTCTGATACAAATAAATGAATAAATATGTATTATAATATTGTAATATAAAAATTTAATATATAAATTATAATGATAATAATAATCATAAAAGTTCTCTTAGTACGATAAATTTTAATAAATTTTTAAAATTTTGCGCAATTGATACTTTCGATATTTTCAATCTCCAAATTCCATAATATAATATTTCTCTTACACTTTGTTCGTAGTGATATATTCGTAGCCAACTCTATTCTATATTTTATCTATGGTTTTATTCTGGATTCTGATGAATCTGATGAAGATTATCTGACTATCTGATTGTTTGTGATAGTTTAAGAATAGAAAAGATTTGAATAGCATATTGACTAATTTGGTTCATTATTTATCAACATATGTAAAATTAAATAAATTACATATGTATATATATATATATATATATATATATAAATTGATGAAAAAATAAAGGAAAAATTTATAAAATGTCTGGTGAAATCGATATTTTTGATGATAATGAGTCGCAATTACCACAAGATCTTAGAGATGATGTTGTTCAAGAAGTTTTGAAAACTGGTACAGATTTACGTCAATATTCTAGGCAGATTGAAAAAGAATTAAAGGAAGTTGAAAATAAATCTATTCAAGATTATATAAAAGAAAGTGAAAATATAGCGAGTTTACATAATCAAATTGCTGCATGTGATAATATTTTAGAGGTTAGATTTTAATAATATATCGAATATAAAATATAAATATCTGTTATTTACATTTGAATTTTATTTAAAATTTGAAAAATAATAATATATAATTAGAAATATATTTATCAAATTTATTATTTTATTAAGTTTTATTAGAATTTGTTGAATTTTGCAATTTAATATATTTTTTTCTAGAAAATGGAATCCATGTTGATGAGTTTTCAATCAGACTTAGGAAGTATTAGTTCAGAAATACTTTATTTACAACGTAAATCTGTAGCAATGAGTCAACAATTGTCTAATAGACAAATAATTAGAGGACCTCTTAGTCAATTTATTGAAGATATGACAGTGTCAGAAGCTCTTATTGCGTAAGCATTAATAATTTTTTATAAAAAAATGATATTCTTAAATATATAAAATTTATTATAATATAATAAAATTTATAACAATTTATAATATATGCAGAGGAATTATGGACTCTCCAGTAACTGAAAAAGAATTTTTAACACAACTGCAAACATTAAATCATAAAATAAATTTTGTAAAGGAACAAAGTTTTAAAGAAGCAAAATCATGTTTAGATGTAAAAGATATATTAGAGAAACTGAAAGTGAAAGCATTAGCAAAAATTAGAACATATCTTTTAGAACAAATTTATAAATTTAGAAAACCAATGACAAATTATCAAGTACCACAAAATAACATGTTAAAGTATAAATTTTTTTTTGAGTTTATTTTGGCAAATGAAAGAAATGTAGCAGAAGAAATTTGTGGAGAATATATTAGCACAATGAGTAAAATATATTATTCGTATTTTAAGTCATATTCTTCAAGACTAATGAAATTACAGGTTAGTAAAATATAATGATAAAAAATTTAAAATATTTGTAGAGGAACAATATTTATTAAATTGTATAGTTTGAAGAAGGAGCTACTAAAGATGATCTCATGGGAGTTGAAGATACTGCTGGGAGAAGTATTTTTCATAAAACCATATTAAAGCATAGAGGTACGGTATTTTCTATAGGTAATAGAGGAGATGTATTAACTTCTCAATTGGAAGCACCCATTATAGTACCTCATACTGCATTTAAAATAAGGGTAAATATAAAATTTTTTTAAATATATTTAATATTTATTATTTATATTTTTTATTTTTAAAATGAAATTATATATGTAAATGTATACATAAATGTAAATTCAATCATTTTTTAAAATTATTTTTATTTTACAATTATTTTATTATAAATATATTATATATGTCAATTTGATTGATTTTTATTTATAGTATCATTATGAAGCCTTGTTCAGAAGTGAACAATATGCTCTTGTAGATAATGCTTGTAGAGAATATTTATTTTTAACTGAATTCTTCAAAGTACGTGGTGTACAGGCAATGGATATTTTCAACCAGGTAAAATGAAATAATATTTTTCTCTGTTATATTAATGACATTAATGAAAATGAATATATAAGATTATATATTTTTAATTAAAAAGGTAATGGGAAAAACATTAAATCTAATGGTGAAAAATTTACAATCTTTTGTGGAAGATTGCTATGATACTATTGCTTTATTCCTTTGCTTACATTTAGTAATGCGATATCGATTGACTTGCCATAAAAGAGCAGTACCTGCTTTAGATAAATATTGGGATAATATGACATCAGTAATCTGGCCTAGGTATAAATAAATAAATACATATTTAAATTAACACAATGTAACACATATATATAGCATAATTTTTAAATAGAAATATATTTTCAATATATCTTTTTTAAATTTTTAGATTTGAATATGTTTTTCAATTGAATATTCAAAGTATAAAACATTGTGATCCATTAAAACTTACTCAAGAAACAGGACCACATTATGTAAATTTATAATATTAAAATTACAAATATATAATTTAAATCTTTAGAAAGGAACTTATTTATAAGTACTAACAAAATTTATTTATAGATTACAAGAAGATATGCGGAATTTAGTGCTGCAATGGTTAGTGTAGTTGAAGGATTTCCTTGTGAAGGAGCTACACAATTATTAGCAGAATTAAGAGAAGCTGTACAATGTTTCCTATTAAGAATGGCTGCTACATTTTCTAGTAGAATTCAACAATTAGTTTTCCTCATCAATAATTATGATTTAGTTCTTGGTGTATTAATGGTAAATATAAATTAAATGGTATATATAAATTAAAAATAAATCAACTTTATAATATAATTATAATTATAATTATAATTATTATATTATTAATAATATATTAACAATACAATTATATTCTTAATTGTATATTCTTAAAAATTATATTAATTTATAATTATATTCTTTATTTTTAGGAAAGAACACGAGATAATTCAAAAGAAGCAGAAAGTTTTCGTGATCAATTAAATGCACGATCTTCAGAGTATGTAGAAGAAATTTTAAGTCCACATTTTGGAGGTATAATACAGTTTGTCAAAGAATCTGAAGTTATGATCGAGAAGGGTCAAACTGATGAATCAAAAAGACAAGAAGGAAAAGCATTAGCTCTTGTGCAATCTTTTACGAATAATTGGAAACGGGCATTAGAAGAAATTAATCATGAAGTATTGAAATCTTTTCCTAGTTTAGTGCTTGGTACAGCACTTGTACAACGTACAATGACACAGCTAGTGCAATATTATCATAGGTTTCATAAAATTTTACCACCAAATGCTCGAACACAATTAACTAACTTTCATCATATAATGGTAGAAATGAAAAAATATAAAGCAAACTATTAAAAAAAAAAGAATTTTATTTCTATTTAAATTATATTAAAAATAAAATACAGAAATATAATAAAAATAAAAAACAGAATTATAAATAAAAATATATATAATATAAATAAAAGAATATAAGTAAAAAAATTATAAATTTAAGATTAATTTATTAAATTGAATCAATTATTAATTTTTTTAATCTAGTTTTATTAATCTAGTAATGTAAATATTATATTTATACATATATGTATGTATATTTATAAATGTGGAAATGTCTTACATAAATCACATCTTATTTATGAATTATCTTTATAAGTATTAAAAATATATTTGATGATTGCAATTGAAAAAAATTCATACAAATTATTATTTAATATCATTAATATATTCAATATCATTCAATATCATTAAAACTAATATTGAAGTTAATATTAAAATTATGTAAAAATATTAATATGCAAAAAGCAAAGTTTAAAAAAATTTGTTGTAAATTTATTAATATTGTAAAACGTAAAATAATATTTTATTATTTTATTTTTTTACCTCTCATTAATTAATGGAATAATAAAAATAAGATTAGAACATAAATTATGAAAAACATACTGTACATTTATTTATAAAATAATACATATTAGCATAATACTAATTGTAATTTATTATCTTTCTATACAATTAAGTAATTCTATATAATTAATTTTCGCATTTATATGACTCATAAATATGAATCTGTAACTCAGCTAACATGAGACAATCAACATACATCTATATTACATAAGATTTCCTATTTATATATGTTTTAAAAAATTATTAAATTTATAATTTTGCAACATTTGGTAAATAATGTTGATGTATCTTCATTATTAATTTATATTATATATTATAACAATTATAGATTTATTTTTTCTTTTTTTCAAGATTATACGATTATTTTAATTGCATATAAAGTTTCAATTATTTCCAATTTTTTTGAAAAAAAAAAAAGAATATTTAAGAATATTTTAAATATTTCAAAATAATTCTTAAACAATCTTAAACTTTCATTTATCATAGTATTTATTATAATAAAGTTTTTTATTTACAAAATTTAATTTAAATTTAATACGTGGGATATTATAATTCTTTTTTATTATTATTATTATTTTAATATATTTAAAGATTATAAAAAGATTTTCCCAAAATAAAAAATTTTTTCTATATTTTTTTTTTTATATTCTCTCTCTCTCTTTCTCTCTATATATATAATAAGATAAATTATCAAAAATATAACTATCACATGATAAATTTCTCTGATTTCTAGTATTGATAAAATTGATAAATTGGTAATATTAAGTGAATCTTCAATTTCAAAATCAATTCATATCATAAATTGCATAAAATAATTGTTTATTTTCGGACGAGATTGGAAGTTATATAAATTTTTATCTCAGAAGCTATTCAAATTGAATTTATCCTTTCTTTGGAATGAATCTCTGAATTGTGAATGAGATTCATTTTTCTTATATTTTGATCATATGTTTATATTAAGATATTGTTAGAATGAAGGAATTGTTAGATGAAGTATAATCATTAGGATTTATCGCATTAAATTATTAAGAATTGAAGGTTTGTATATATCTAATAATTAACGAAAATTAATTATATACATACGTATGTACTTCATAATAAGTATTTAATTCTTTGTGATTTACTGTAATAATTTCTAAGAATTATAAATTTCTTTTTTTTTTTATATTTTTATAATTTCATCTTATTTATCAATATTATTTATTTCTAATTATTATTTATTTCTATTTTTCTAAAAATAAAATCTTTATATTAAACTAGTATTTTTTTTATTAAATTAAATTCAAATTTAAAATCAAATTTAAATTATCTCACATGCGATCTTACTATTTTTTTTTAGTAAATCACAAAGAAGTAATGATTGCTTAATTACTATTGTTATTATTGCTAACTTAAAATAAAAATGTATAAATAATTTTCATATTTTGTTATTAAAATATGCATTTTTGTCTAAGACGCATAATTTTTCAAATTTAATTGTTGTTGCACGATTATAATATACTGTCAATTGCGTGTAAAACTCCATTTGTTGCTGGTATGTTATGCATTATTACATGTGCTTCGTTTATTCGTACTCGACCTGGAACAAGGTAGGAAATAGTTTAATGTTTTTCTATATCACAAAATTTCTTTTTTGAAATATTTCATAATAATATATATTAAAAGAATTAATTTAAAAATAATTAAATAAAATTCAAATAAAAATAATATAAAAATGATATCAAAATTTTAAATTTAATTGTAATTGTAAATAAAATGAATTAATTGTAATAAAAAGATTTCTATGATTTCAGAAACAAAAATGATAAAAAAATTAAATTAAAAAAATTAAATTAAAAAAAAATACTTTTTTTATTTTTAATATTTATAAGAAAATTCCTATATTGATAAAATTTTTACTTTATGTACGTTTCTATGAATTATTTTATAAATACATACAATTTATTTAAAAATAAATATTTGTAAATGTTAAAAATAAAAAGAATATTTCAAATCGGATAAAGTAACTCGGTTATAAAATATTACATTCCTAGAATTTTATGGTACCAAAAAAAAATATTTAACTTTAATTTATTTTTACAAAAATGGAAAAATTATTATTTAATGATATATATGAAAATATAAATATAATAATATATATATAATATATGTATGAATGAAAATATAAATATTGTGTTATATATAAATAAGAAAAATTTATTATGTTTAATTTATTAGTGTTTATTTTTATACTTGAGAAATTTCCAAATTTTTTGATTTCTTCGAAAATTGGTTTTTCAATGATTTAAGTATTTTAATAGCATTACTATTGACGAAAAAAATATTAATCGATTTACCAATAATGAAAATGATTGATTATAATCACATTCTATATTTTACTTTATTATGAGTTTAAAAAATTTGAAATTTCGATATTTTTTTACTTACCACCATTTTTATGAATATGGAGAGGTGATTGTGGATGAAGAGTATCTTTTTGCAGATAATACCTCATTCCAGCTGTATATAAAGTCGATGGAATTATATGTCTCGAAATAATTGTTTTTGCAGCATTTGGTCCATCTTCTTCTGTCCAAACAGATGTTCCGTCTTTTGAAGCTGATTCGAAAGCGGAATCCGTTGGAGCGAAAATGGTGAAAGTTTTGGGTCCTGCAAAGATTATTTTCTTGTTAATAGCAATTACTCATCTGTAATTATTTTAATTATTATTTTAATTATTTGATTTTACTATTGAAATTTATATGGCATATTATTATATGGCATATCATTAGTTTGATTTATTCAGTCTTTCAAATTTAATCTAATTATTGCGTAAAATGTAAAATGTGCTATAATGTATTAATTGATTGCAGAATTTTATTCATTATAAATAATATTTATTTATTGTTATATTTAAAAGTATATGTATAAGTAAATATTTAAAGATAATATATGAGTCGATATCTGTAATTAAGAGCCAATTTATAGATTTAAAGAAATAGAAAATTAAACAGACGAAAATTTTATTAAATAAAATTAAATTATTTCGAATAATGCATTATTAGGATATATAATATATTTATTTAATTCAGAACTATATATATATATAATAATTCAGAATTGAAAATTTTTCAAAGATTTTAACTTTATAAAACTAAATAGTTTCTATATACTTAATTACTTAAATTTAAATAATTTTTGAATATTTTTTTATATATTGTGTTTACTGTAAATAAAAAGTAACAAACTTAAGCATTGACTTAATTATAATTTAATTTTTATTTGATTAATATTTTTTATTTTAAAATCTATAATTAAGTTTGTTAACAATATTAATTTAATTTAAAAATTAATATTTGCATTTGTGTTAAATAGAATTTTACTTTATTGAAAATTTTATTGAAGTTTCATTAAATTGAATAAGTTTAAAAATTTTATTACATTTAATTAAATAAATTTAATACAATTTTTAAACTCATTCACTCATTAGTAGTATAATTTATTTCTTCCATATTTTTTTTATTTTTATTTTCGTTTTTACTTCAAATAGAATATAACAAATAAAAAATTAAATTGCATAATTACATAATAATATAAATAACTATAATTATAACTATAATGATAATATAATTATTTATATATATTGTATTATAGGATATTTCAATATTAATAAATAAATAAAAAAAATATTTAAATATTAAATGCAGTGTCATTAAAAAAAATTTATTTTTATTTATTATTTTTTTAACGATGAAAAAGTTTTATAAAAGGAACATTGTAAAAAAAAAATTTCATAAAAAAAATATTATAAAATATAAAATATAAAATACTTAAATAAATCAAATGTATATGGGTTATTAAAGCTTCATTAATTTCTCATAAATCTCTTTATAGAAGTTAATAATAAATATTAACAAAATTTAATATCACATATATGTATACATATACAAAGTATTCTATATGATATAAAATAATGTAATCTTTAAGTACAAAAATGTTTTAAGATCATATATATTCTTTTTCATTTCGAAAAAATCTAATTTGATGTAAGATATTTCTTTCTAGATGGAAATATATCAAATATACTAATTTTTTAAATTAAATTTTTAACTATATATCTTTATGAATGATTGCAATTGATGCAATTATTTATCTGTTATAAAAAAAATTTATTAAATTATTTATTTTTTTGTTAATTCTTAGAAAAACTTCATTAGATTTTTTTCTTATATTTATAAATTTTAAATATAAATTTATTAACTCATTAATAAATTCATTAATTCAAACATTCAATTCATTATTTTATTTTATATTTATATTATATTCGTTTTATATTATTTTTTTTGTAATGATTTTTTTCTATGTAATTGCA